ATTAAAATCAGTAAAATAATACACTTTGCTCAAAAAAGAGCAAATCAGGGATAAATGCATGTAGAGTTTAAAAAATTGTCAAACAGAGGACTATAGTATCAGCCATGCCTCGACACTGCTGAATAATTGCAACTTTTACAAAGGACATTCAAATTTGCTGTGCCAACATCCAGACTGGGAGGGTAAACAGAACAAACCAAAATAAATCCAGCAGAAAGCTTTAGCCAACCATGTGAGAAGCTAAACTGAGGTTCCAACAACATTCATTCTAGCAAAAGAGAAAATATGTTTCCTTAAAAGTCTGGACTTCAGGACCAAATCTGTTTGGATGACAGAGTTCAAAAGAAATCCTAAGGAAACTCTGAAGTGTGCATGGATGCAGGTTCCTGTGAAACACTACCATGAGCAACAAGGGATAACAGACACAGAAGTGAGATTCTCTTGAGAAATCAGTATGCCTTAAATATATGCACTGTGAATATAAATCAAACTCGAAAAAGAAGTGGCTGCAGACAGAGACATGATCCAAATGGCCACTGCAAAATTAATTTAACCTCATTTAGTTAAAACCATAGTGTGTAACGTGTTAAACCAGCAAAAAGTAAAAGAAACTTTCTTGAAAGCGTGTATCATTTCTATCACAGAAATAACACTTACCTCAAGGATTCCATCTATGAAAACAATGTAACAAACTTTTAAAATTAACAGCCAAAAGACATCAGCCTACAGAACTATCCCTGCCTTGGGACAGACAGATGCAGACAAAGCCAGCAGAGAGGCCCCAGTCACACAAAAGCTGATATTGTTCTCCGGCTGGGTGAAAAATCTCGCTTGTAAATTGAGCGACATCTGCATTCAGAATCAGCCCAGCCAGGGCCCTGCAGAGGTGACCAAAGCACTCCACTCAACAGGAGAATGATTTCTCTTATCTCCTTCAGCGCAAGCAGCTGCACAAATCAGCAGCTCCTGGGTTTACATTTAAGCAAAATTCCTTTGATGCACTGTTAGAGATGAAACATAATGTGTAAAACTCTTCCCCGCTAAGCACAGCCTTGAAGCCCAGTATAGTTTGCAAAACAAATAATTAGTGAAGTAAAATCTTTTATTGTGACCTCCAAAATTAGTAACCTCTTCACATTTCTTTCCAAGTTCTTTATCAGTACTGCTGACACAGGACAGCAGTGTCTCCTAGAATGTCTTCCATGAAAGTCAGTAAAAAAGAATTTAATTCAAGCATTTGATAAAGCTTCTAAAAAAACTCTCTATGGTAATAAAAAACTGCTTTCACTACTTAAATTTAACTCTGTTTTTCCACAAAGTTATTTATATACTGTACTGCATTCTTTATCATCTAAATTGGATACTGGAATGAAACAGTCTATAAAGCTTTATATAGTCATAAACTCAGACATTTCTAAGTGACACAGAGAAATGACCTACAGCATTCACCAGAATTTTGATCATCACACATTTAACAGAAGCAAGAAAAAAGAAAAATCTCTCCTAACCAAAGCTACTCTTTTACTTAAATAAACAATAATAAAAAAAATCAATCATTAAACAATAATTTTTTTTGGGGCAGTGAATATTTCTATCTGCCTGTTTCTAGAAGGGCCTTTTCTTTACTATCTGCAGTAAACACAATCAAGTTTTTAATAATAAATTGTGTAACTTCAGTGCAGGAAAAATCCCATCAACACAAATAATAGATTTCTGTAAAATGATGAAAAAAACACACAACGAAACTATTCAATAAATCCACTTCTATGCTTCTCTACTGCAGGATTTGGCTGAGAGTGAATATAAACTACTTTCTAAGTAGTTGGCACCTTTTTTCACCTTGTTTTGAACACCTTTGGCCACCAAGTAAATTGGAAGGGAGTCTTAAGACAGTTATCTAAACAAATTGATTAAAAACAATTAATGGGATGATGCCTTCTGTGGCCTTCAGATGTTCCTGTCCTTGTAACACCCAAGTTAATGAAATGTTGAGAAAGAATATTTCTATTCTGTGATCTGAAAAAAACCCCAACACATGGATCACTTGCACCCTTAGCAAAATGATTGTCCTTTCTTTTCTGGCCTTCAGAAAAAGTTGTTTCAGAGGCAAAATAAGGTATTTCAGCAGCAGGCGTGATCTACCATCATGTGCTTAATCTAAAAATAAGGATAACTCTTGAGAAAGAGTAGGAACACAAGAACCAATTTAACTGTGGAAAATGGCCACAGAAGAGGAACAGCAGTTTAATGCAAAGTGACATCCACAACTTCCAACGGAACAGAAAATTCCAACTTAGTGGGATATAATGGTTTATAGGTTAATTGGTCTGATGGCTTTGGTAACCCCAAATACTCTGAGAGGAATAAACAGTTTCCCTGATAGAACTTCATCCAGGTACAAGTGGTGATTTTTTTCAGAAGTCTGAAAAGGAAACTGGAATAGCATTGATACAAAACCAGAAACCAATCTCCCACATTCAAGTTACTGCCATGAAAGCTACCCTTTCAAATAATACTGTCAGTAACTTGCTTAAGGCTTTGAAATATGTCTTTCAGGACACTGTACTATTTCAGAATTTTATTTTGTATTTTTCTAATCAAAGTATCTTTTGTCAGATTCTATCATCTCCCTTCCACATAGCATAATAATAATAAAAAAAAGCTTTTTGATAGCATTTTGTTCTCACAGGTATCTTTATAAAGTGCAATTAAATGCATCCCTTTCTGTTTACGAGAATGACTGTGATGAAGAATGTGAAAATTGTATGAGTTCACTGCTGGTTTTTCGTATTTGAAAAGCTACAACAGACCATTACAGCAATAACAGGTTATGAATGAAGTACTAGGAACCAGACTGGTACTGTCAAGGACAGAAAAAAGCAGAAGCATTGCAGAAGCATGAGTTAATGTCTGGCAGACCTGTCATCCAGAAAAATACTGAAACTAAGGCCATGTGTTTTTTCACCCAAAGCCCAAGAAGTTATATGGTAACATAATAATGGTTAATAAATATCTAAAACCTTTCTGCATGAGTGACACAAGTGTTTTGGTTCTTACTACACTCATGTTATTCTATTCCTCTCCAGATTTTTTATTTCTTATTCATATTAACTGATCACCTTTGTATACTACAGCATGCCACATAAAAAGCAATTTAAGCATCTGGGACACAAGCTAGATAAATTTAAATTGGGGGAAAAAAAATCATATTTTAATGCAAATTGCAAAGATGAGTTGATGGAGATGCAATTCAGGAAAGTCATGAGCTCCTTGTCCCTTCCCGCTGTGCGCTTCATATATATTTTATCCAATGACTGTTGATGTAAAATGCATAAACAGTTATCAGAGAACAAAGATTAGAGCTGCAGTGTTGTGCCAGAGCAATGCCATCATCACTTAGCAGCCAACTCCCCATCTCTGGATCCTCCAGTCCAGGGGCAGCTGCACTGTGGGGAAGCTCTGCCAGCAGCTTTGTGCTCCCACACAGGCCAGCTCAGAACCCAGCAGCAGCTGGGGCCACTGCCAGACTGGATGTGGGCATTGGAATCCCTTGAACTTCAAGAATGAACAGAATTCAAGTGACTGATAAAACTGTAACAAGTGCACAAATCATTCACTACATTTTAAAGGCTTTGGACACCAAAGGACCCGTGGAACTGTTTACATTCAGCTCGTGCTCCTGCAAAGCTGCACAGAGGAAGCAGAGCATTGAAGAGTTTTGCAGAAACTCTCCCAAGTCTCCACAAACACAATCATCTACCTGCAGACCAGACAGCTGGAGTGACTCCTACTCCTGTGGCTCTTTCACTGGATAAAAACCACACACAACTTGTTAGATTTGTGATATTCACTGAGCTGTTGAGTTTAAGACATTGTATGAAAAGGGTCATCATCCATGTGGTCACACAAGCGTTTTGGTTTGATCTAGGAGTGTGTATTTTAAAATTAATCTCATTATTCCTACATGCCATTCTTTCTTTTTCACCGCACAGTGTTACCAGAGCATATTTACTCCCAAACAATATTAAAATAAAAGATGCTGCTCACCTACCAGTGGTTACTCAGTCCACAGGACTGCAGTACAACTGGCATAAAGTGAAAGCCTGTTCTAAGGAACACACAGAACTGTCAGCACGGGCTCCTCAGTGCCAGATGCTTTGTGCTAGAGATCTGCCACTGCTGTGCCAAGGTGCCTCTGTGCATTTGGGTCCATCTGGAGCTTTTTCTTAATGCAAGGTGTAGACTGCTTTATAGAAAAAGCTGGTCTGAAAAGCAAGTCCTCTGTCTTCAACGTTAAGTATCCACATAACCCAGAAAAAAAACCATCAGGGAAAGTATTTTTTCAGGTACTTTTTTTGACTTTTATTTTAGACCTCAGCGCTGTGCACATACAAAGTCACTGACAGCATGATGTGCTTTTGAATTTGTCATTCAATGAGTGTTTTGGCACTCCAGAAAGACACTGCTGCCTTATGGACTAACAGCCCTCCAGAACCACAGTGCAATACAGATTTTACATGACTGAGCCTATTACATACTGTGTCCAAGTGTAAAAGAAATGAGCATACCTTGGCCTTTCACAAAAAAAAATTCCCACTTGTAAGAATATCCCAAGAACTGGCCTAGGATCAGTACAGTTAATATTAACAGTAATAGAATATGGACAGTTATAAAGTTGCAATTTTCTTTTTATCTGTTAATAAAAATAAACACTGAAATCTGGCCCTTATTAAAAGAAAAAAAAGCTATTCTGATGAATTATTTTAAACCAAACCTTTTAACTCAAACTCTTAATCACTTACTTATTCTAAAATACTATATAGTACAGTCCTAAAAATGTATTTTTGCATAAAGTACTGGATGATTCTTACATTCTACAACTAAAGAAATTGATTTTGGTATCAAACAAAAGAAAGCAGTATGCTCAGGATAAACCAAAATATTATCCAATGAACAACAGATACAGGAACACATTCAAATTTTTATCACAGAAAACTTACATCTAGTAATGTATGAAGATGCTGATCCTGGAAAACACTGTGAAGAAAATCTAAGTCTTTTTCACTGCAGTCTGTAAGTGCATGAATTTCTTCCAGGCTGTCCAACACCTGTGAAACTGCTCCTATGGGGCAACAGGAAAAAAAAAAGAATAAAAAAAAATCAATAAAGCAATGACTCATGGCAAACTGAACTTTGGAAAAGGAAACTTTAAATTCATCTGGTACAACTAGAACAGGAGACAGGAGTTTAAAAAAGCTGGAGTTTTAACAGGAAAACTCAGAATAAATTTTACACATATCAAAAGGGCTCACAGATAATGTAATTATACATAAGAAATGGCTTAATGGGAGAGAGGTTAAAACCTGGTTTTGTTAAGCTCACCTTTGTTCTATTTCAGCCTTGCTTCCAATAATGTCTTATGAAGTACCTGTCCTCACCATTCCCACCCCAACCTCCACTTCTCTTTTTGAACTGTTGGACAATTTCAAATACATATTGTAAAATTTTGGGGCATCAGTAAGAATTATTTTGAAATCAAATCCAAAACAACAGTAAAATCAGGAAAAACCAATGCTTTCACAAATATTTTTAAAATCAGTATCAGGATAAAGGAGGGAAGAGGGAGAAACACCTGGACTGCTGAATCCTCTGGGGGACAAAAAAGGCTGTAATGTGTTTTTGTTCTGTTTGTTCTGCTTGCCTGGTTATCTCCTACCCAGCTATTACACTTGCTGCTTTTTCACCAGGGCATTGTTTTGGGTCATAGGATGATGGGGATGATTTTTATATGGCATGGGGGTGAGAAAGAAGTGAGAGCTATGGAGACAGAAAGGAGAAATGGGAGGCACTGTGGAAGGTGCAAGTCCATGAGGAAACGCTGAACTCTCAGCACCAGAGGACAAAAACAACACAAATCCACCAAGTAAACCAGCCCATAGTGGTTCTGTGTGAAACAACTTGCTTAAAAATCACTGTGTCAGTGGTGGCTGCCACCTTAGAATGCCAACTTTGGCTTATCTGAACACCCACTGACCATGTCTTCACTTCTTCCACTGTGCCAAAAGCATGTGGTAAGAAGGCAGCACATCCAGTGAGAGTCTGCAACAATGCTGGTGGTCTGGAAGTGAACCACTGAATGCTTTTTTGTAAGTAAATTGTTAATTCTGGACACGGGATTCTACACATTCTCTATTTCAGCAATTTCTCATCAATATGTTTATTCTGTTTACTTATTGTTTACCTTTGTCTTTTTGACAAGATAGATAATATCTAATAAATTGCTGCATTCCTTGAAATTCTATCTTCTATTGCATGAACAATTCTTACCAGCCCTCAACTCAAAGCATTTTGTACTGCATTTTCAGAATGTAATACAAAAAAATACACCAGACTGCCTCTTAACCACACACGGAAAGAAGTTAACTTATTTCTCTGAAAATCTTGAAAAACTGGATTAAGCATTACAAAATACACAAAAACTACTATACAAGACTTGCAACCTCATGGCTTTGGAGGAGAAATAAATTACAAATCTAGAAACTCTTGCATCTCATTTAGTACAAACCTCAGCCTAGGATTCTCCTCACAGTTCTCTGTACAACAAGGTTTGAGAACCACAATATCCCCTTCACTCACATGTCTCAGGAGCACTAAAACTTCTTAGTTCTCTCCCATCAAGTGTGTCGGACTACTTATACCTACTTGATGTACTAATTTATGTTATTTTAAAAACCTGTGGCTGCCAGCAAATAAAACAAATGGTTTGACTTTTAGTAGTTGTGGTGCATGAGGTCAGGTGCACTGAAAAAGAGAAAAATTTGCTTCCTCTTTGATAATGAACAAGGTTGCTCAGCTGAAAGGAACCATTCAAAACCCTCTGAGACCTAGCAGGAAAGCTGATAAAATATAAAATATAAGGATTGGGGATGTGCTGCTAAGAGGATGGAGAGATCACAGCTAAGCCTCAAAGGCAAGGAAAACAAACTACCCAGGGACCCCAAAAAGGACTGCACTGTTGCCTTTACATCTTCAGCACATCAGTTAAAGGTGGATGGACCTAGAGATCTCCAAGCCTGAAGGAAATTGCTTGACTTTCCAGGATGCAATTGGTAGAAGACAAATTGTTAAAATTCTCTTTTAGTTCTGCTCTTTTCATGCTGAGTTTGAATTATTTTATTTTCAAGGAAAGCTTCTTTTTTCTGGGTTCAAAGCCCTTTCTGTGTACTTGGAGTATTTAAGAAAAACTCAAGAGAAGATTCACTTCAGAGGCCTGGGTATCTTAAGAGACTCTAATAATGCTCAGTGTTGCCCATAATCACCAAAACCTGAGCCAAATCTGGAACCAGTAAGAAGTGTGTTCAAAGTTGCCTGCAGTGCTGTTATTGTGAACCACCAAATGCTCTGGACCATCACATTTTTTATTTGACAAACTTTTTTTTTGTGGAATGCTTTGCTGGCTTTGAAATGGAAATGAAAGTTATGGTTTTTCAATATTTGTATCTCAATAACCTCTTCAATATTTGGGAATTCAAAAAAAATTAGGGATTGATCATTAGGTCTTTTTTTCTCCTGCTCACTGGTCACATTGAATAGAAGGCTGTAAAATGAAGTTTCCAAGAATGTCCTTAAGAAATTTGAGGGGACTTTCTGACAGAGACTTTGTTAATCTCCCAAATGACAACTTTACCTTATGCTTTTTTTTAAAAAACTATAATCTTATGCTTCACCTACTGCCATGCCCCTCACTCATTTACAAATATTGTGCACCTGCATGAGAAAATGGCATAGCAGCAATATACTGACAGTATGTTAGTACTTAAAAAAAGTGTCAGAACAATTTTAGAGGCATTTTTGTGAACACCTAAACTCTCTTTGTTACAGACATCCATTAAAAAAATCTGAAAGTTCCTTTTGGAAGAGTTTTAAATTCAGGGAAGAGATACTACATAAAATAAAATTAACCAACCTTTACAGCATACATGTTTCTAAAAAGGTTCATATTCAGGCTAAATTTCTAACCTTTGGGGAAAGTGTAAAGGCATTCAATATTTATAATTAAAGCTTATATCCTCTTGAAATAGGATTTAACTTATTTTCAACATTGCAAGTGCACCCATTTTAGCCTCAGCAGATTATAAGGAAGGACTTAAGTGAATTATTACAATCATATAAGCTAAAATCTCAGAGTTCTCATGGTCTGTAGCAGTGTCATGGGACAAGCAGTTACAGACAGAATCTAGAAACAGGCAAATTAAAATGATGCATAAGTATTAGTAATGCAGGAAAAATCAGGAAGTTGACTAACTTGACTGGCTGTGTTTGTTTTTTAAGACTCCATAAAGTAAACTTTGTTAAAAAATGCTGCTCACTGTCCCAGAATTTTCAAGTAGCCCCAACTTTTGAAATGAATCTCACCCTGCACCTTAAGTTACTATAAAAACAGATCCAATTGCACAGGAAAGGCTGCAATTCCAGTGATATAAATAGAAGACTCTGCAGAAACAGTAACAAAATCCACACCAAACATGGTTCTGTGAGAAGACTCTGGATCCTCCTGTAAATGCACAGTAAATGACCTCAGTGTCCAAATGAGCAGTGACACTCTGGGCCATGCACACAACCTTGTCTTTCTTGTATTCCCATATGAATACCTAAGAAAGGATGGCTGCAGCCATTCAGTTTCCTGGGGACTGCCAGTTCTGAAAAGCTGAAAACTATGGACTGTCACATATAAAAAAGAAGAAAACCACATTAGAATGCTTATGACAGTCTCCTGCAGTCAGTATTAATATATAAAATGCTTTTGTAGTTAGTGGAATGACTTCTCAAGGATGATACCGAATTACTTCTGAGAAGACAGAGATGAACTGAGCAGTTTTTTGCCTACTGAGGCAGATCTATTATTTATCAGAGACATGTATTTGCTTTATGAGGCAGAAACTTGGGATTTTCTCTTTATGCACTGCATAGTGAAAGTTACCACAGGTATTTTGTGCAGGTTCTGTTACCTCATTTTTGGAGATGGCCTGTCAGAAATAGTTTTCTCTTACAGCAGAATTCTGTCTCTAGAGTCTCTGTAGTTCTCATACAGTGCACCTGAAGTTGCTATGGACACTGGCACATCAGGTTGGAAGAAGGCAAAGTTGGTAAAATGGGTTGTTACTACAACGTCCAGCTATTCTAGTCTGGAACAGGTGGTTTGACTAGAGAAACTGAAATTTAAATGTAGGGAGGAGTTGTTTACTTCTCCCCAGAACAGAATAGAAGAGAATTTTAAATACTATTCCAAGAATTGCCTACATATTCTGCAGTAGTCATGTGTCCCCCAGTGCAAAACATCCCAAAAATTTGCTTTTCTGTGGCTTCTCAGCACACCAGGCAGGTGTTATGTTATATCTCTGTTATGTAACAGGCAGTAAATAGAATTAGGAACCTCTTTTCATGTGACAGGTGATCTGCAGCAGCGTACGACTGAATAACGTGCTTAGGTAAAGAGACTCAGATATTGCGACAAACCCAGATTACATCCTGACTGCAAACACATTCTGACAGAGAGCAAAATAACTCTCTGATTTATTTTTTAACACAGAAGATTACAAATGCCCATTTAAGTCTTGGGTCAGTCATAAACCTGCTTCTGAATAATGAAAACCCAAAACTCAGGAAGTCTGATGTTGTTTAAACACAAAACTAAAAACCCGTGACCTTTTTGCTAGACTCCTGCAATTACTTGCCAGGAAATAACTCTGCAGAAGAACTTATAATAACCACTATAATAATAGCATGTTTTTATTAAAGAGACATTGGCAGAATCTAAATCTCTTAGATGTGTAGAACCACATAAAATGAAGTTCATGACACCAGCCACTCATTTTAATCCTTTTCAATCTTATAAACTGCATTTTTTTGATTGGCTTTTCAACTATTTTTTTGTAAATAGGTAAGTAATTGTGTCTTGAAGATTTTACAGTGGTATTTAAATGACTAAGCAAGGCTTTGCTGTCATTTGCAATTTCTCTATATATCACAGCGCAGTCCCTATGCCAGCCAATGTACAATAAACAGAATCTGATTTTTCTCAGCCTCATCTCTTGGCTGCCTTCTCATGGGCAGCTGCTGTAA